TTCTTTTGCCATCATCTTCAAAGATGCCACCAGCAACCAGAAATTATGACTATCTAGGGCTCTGCCATCATCTTACGAGATGGCTAAAATTGAATTAAAATATATGCGTATAATCTACTTTTTTTTCCTTTCCTCCTGTTATGTTTCTCTAGACCGTTACGTGATCATGGGGAACCACCGGGACTCCTGGACTCTGGGAGCGGTGGACCCGACCAGCGGCACCGCCGTCATGGTGGAGGTCACCCGGGCCTTCATGCAGATGGTCAAACGGGGTGAGTTACGGCAACGCGATTTTAGTTTACGGACATGAACCACAAATTTAACACTAAAGTAAGCTGGGGATTAGGTATTCGGGCCTTTTCACATTCTCCATCAAATTGAAGACAAGCCACGATTGTGTCGTCCGCTGTTCTGGCCACAATTCTGTGGCCCAAAATACGTAAGACGAATGTGAGGTCTGCTATGATATCTGCCTGCCTTGTTTCCTTCAGGCTGGAGACCGCGGAGATCGCTGGTGTTCTGTACCTGGGACGGTGAGGAGTATGGGATACATGGATCCATGGAGTATGTCGAGGTACCTAGACCTAGACCCGCGAGGTTTCTACACTTGACAGATATATAACATCTCTCAAGACTTCTAAAATATCTCGTCTCATCGTCGTGACTTTTACACATTCCTGTATTATCGTACATGTATAGTGAGGCCTTAGGTGTCTACACTTCACAGATACAGTATCTCTTTAGACTTCTCTTTCCATCATACGTTTCACATCACGCGTTTGCCGATTCTAGTGATTAGGCATTTCATCATTTCGCATTCCCTTCACTAAACCGGGCTTGATGTGTTGATAAATTTAAGGAGTTCCACAGAAACCTGGCGGAGAGGGCTGTCGTCTACATCAACATCGACACAGCAGTCAGGGGTGAGTTATGTCATTGTCCTAAGTGACGTCATATAAACATATAAAATACAGAAGTAGGAGATAGAGCTGCATTTCTTTCGATCTCGGTAAAAAGCTGTGCTGCCACGGATATACATGTTATTGAGTAAAGTATTGAAACATGGTGTTAGGTACAGGTCGGCATTGACTTTAAAATTGATGATCTCCATTTTGCCGGTTTATTTCCCTCCACAGCAACCTACACACTACGCCCCAGGATATCCCCGTCAGCCCGGCAGGAGGTCAGAGAAGCCACCAAACGGGTGAATTATCTCTTTATGTTCTGCCTTTTGTCAATGGTTTTCGATGAATTCCTTTACTGTATCATTTTCTGTCTTCCTACCTCCCCCCCCCCCCGTCTCTATTTCAAGATGGTTAATGAGTTGCACTTCCGAAGAAATCAGCCTCCAAGATCTTGAATTTTGTCCACCAATTTTCACCGTTCCTCATTTACTGTTGTATCAGACGTGATGACTGCTGTCAATGAAGTTCTAGGAAAAAAACTCCTGTCGTTCAGTGTGAATGATTACCCATCATTCTTGTTCTCCAGCTGCCGTGGCCGGAAACCGTCACAGAAGGCACCACGATGTACGACGTTTGGCGCAAGCGCAGTCCTATAGACCCGAACGATGAAAACACACAGCCCAGGTACTCTTGCTAATTTTTTCTCAGGCTAATTTTAATAGTATCGTACTTTCAACACAATAGATCCCAATAACTTGCTAACGAGTTGTTACTGTAACATCAGTATGATTGAGGTCCCCTTTCCACCAGATAACGGTCCCTGAGACTGTTCAGAGACCAAAATTGGACTTGGGTACCCTTGACTTTCTAACTGGAATAAAATCTCAATATAAAAGCGTGATTTAAAAGGCAACAAGACATACTATTGAAGTATTCAAATTTTCTGAACCACCTACGAAATATTCGGTTGCGCAGGTGATGTTACAGTAAATTTCTGACTCTGTTCCACCCAGAATAAGTCTCCTGGGATCGGGCAGTGACTTCGCCGGCTTCGTGCACCGGGTCGGGATATCCTGCATTGACCTCAGCTTCACCTTTGACCCCGTGAGTCTCACTGAACGAATAACGTTTAAGGGTCAAAGTTTAGTACCATAGAAACACTGGTGAAACAAAAATGAATTCAAATGATGAATCCAATGTTAGATATTTCTTACAATTAACTTGTTTCTTTTGCCAGCACCATAGATCGATAAAAAAATCACAGATATCTATGTAAGATCGTGTAAAGCTTTAAACATCTACTCATAACGTTACCCTTTTCTGTGTTCGTGGATAAAAGAATTTACATGAAATTACGTTTTTAAGGTTGACATGAAAATTGTATCCTCTGTAGGCACTCGGTGTGTCCAACTACCCCCTGTACCACACTGGGTACGAGACTTTCCATCTACAGGCAGACATCATTGACCCTGGGTTCAAGTTTAACCGCGGGATCGCCCAGCTGGCCGCTGACCTGGTCCGGGGGTTCGCTGACCCCGTCATCCTGCCCTTTGACCTGGAGGAATATGCTAATTACCTGCATGTCATGCGCACTGACCTGCAGGCAGAGTATGGAGCAGATCTGGTCAATCATGACATTTCATTGGGTAAGTACGTAAACACGCACAGAGGCCAAACTTATAAGGCAAAACAATGATCAGTTGAATTTATTCAATGTTGTATTTATCAACTTTGTCCACATTTTGTTGTGACCTGTATTTAGCCCAGTGTGGGCAAAATGGGCTATGAATGTCTTCATTGTTTTCAATAAGTTGACGTTGTTTTTTGAATTGATATTCCAGACTCTCTGGACTCGGCCATCCAAAACTTCACAGACGCTGCCCAGGCCTTCCACACACGGCTGCGGGATAGCGACAGGAACAAGTATAGTATTTACCCTGAGATTTATAATCTACCGAAACGGTTTTAATATTGAACTCGTTTAAAAAAAAACATTCCAACAAGACTGACTGGTTTTTTTGCTGACATGACAGTCGCCAACATTTTGTAAAAGATCCCAGTTCTTCCAAATCACTTTGCTAGATGTAAACTGTTAATCGATGACGCATCATTTTTTTCTTCCTTGCCCACCTCTCTCAGCCCGTTCGAAGTGCGCATGTACAATGATCAGCTGATGCAGCTGGAACGCGCCTTCATCGACCCGCTAGGCCTGCCGGGAAGACCCTTCTACAGGTGAATAGTCGCCAAGACCATGGATGTGTTTTTTTCCATGAATAACGTTACCCAACTAAATTTTTGGTCTTTAAAGTGTAATAGATTCCGGTTAGTTGGGCAGTCCGTCTGTATATCACTCTGTGGCCTTCATATCTGTATATCACTCTGTGACCTATCAACTGTGACCTTCGTAGGGAAAACTGCTCCCCCTTTGTTCTTTGATTACTTGTGTGTTGACACTGTTTGTTGTTGTTGTTTACAGACATACTCTGATGGCGCCCAGTAAACACAACAAGTACGCGTCGGACCCCTTCCCTGCCCTGTCCGACACCATCTTCGACGCGGAGCGGTCCGAAGACCCGGTGCCAGCCTGGAGGGAGGTGGCCAAGCAGGTGCCAATCATCGCCTTCAACATCCAATCAGCGGCCAGCACACTGCTGACGCCGGCCTAATGGTTCCAACTGTCATGTGCGATGTCCAATAGTAGGAGGCGTCCATTTATGTGTCATGCTTAGTATCCAATCAAATACGAGCATCTCAAACCCATGTTAAAAATGACTTCAAATATCTAGTCAACGAGATCTTGTGTTTAAAAAGTTAGTGCAGCAAACAATTTGTTTCCAGTTCATTTTACGTCTTATCCTGTCCTCTTCACTAAGTTTTCGATTGAGCTTTGTCTCCTAGTACATTAAGTTAAGGTGACGTGATTTTACAACACAAAAAAGTAGTAGCTTCATGTGGAAAGTTTTTTTCATACTTAAGCAATTCTAAGTGCGAGACTCATGGTTTGTTTGATTCTTTATTCTTAATCTTGCATGAAATATTGTTCAAGGTACAAGATAATAATATGCAGTGGGTAATTTATGTACAGTGATTAAGAAATTATTTAAAATGGGCTCCACGTAAGCGGCGCTACTACTTTCCATAATCGTGCAGCTGGTATTCCGATACAATAATAACAGACAATTAAAGAGTGTGAGGAAAAGAATTTTGCCAAATGTGTTTGCATTCGATGAATATACAAGGTTAATTTCTGCATATGTACAACAATTTATCCTACTTATACATGCACCACATAATAAGACATTAAGAGGTAACAACGTTGTCACAACTGAATCTGTCATGGCCAAAGACGGTAAAAAAGTTTAAGAAATGCAACAACGCTATCATACTATCACTGATATGACATTCATTTACAAGTATACGTACATTACTGCTATCGAAAACCCAAACGAGCTCGAGACTATGTTATACGTTACTAAAATTCTTTTAAATTCTATATCTATTCTATTGTATGATCTAGGCTCTTCCTTTATTTACTGTCCTATGCACCCATATTCAGTGCCAGTTTTTCCTCGTGTTCGTCCTCCTCCTGCTCCTGAATGTTTCCCAGCTTTAACAGCGACACGGCCTCCGGGCTGATCCTGGCCGGCGAACTGTTGTTGCTGACCACGGGGTCGGAGCCGGTCGGGCTGGAAATCCGACCCTCGGATGTGGAGGCGCGAGACTCCGCCCCGTCTCTGATCGAGCGCGCGGAACTGGAGGCACGGGAGCTGTCTCGTTCCCGGCCCAGCCCGCTGTCTCCGTCCGAAGAGCGCCGGTCGCTCAGCTTCCCCGACTCCGGCCGGTACAACATCTTCCCCATCTCCTCAGCGTGCGTCGCCGCCTCGATCGTTCTTAACTTTTCCCGCCGGTTTCTCCGACTTTCTTGTAAGTCCCTGGTAGGATTCGCACCTGTGATGATTAAAACAGAAGTCATAAAAGTCTTGTGACACTGGAAACTTGAAATCCCAAAGTTTTAAAGGCCAGTAAGGACAAAAATCAAAATTCCGTCTGAGGATAGCTTGATCAAATACCCAGATGTTTATCATGGATTATCAAGTGTTTTTTTTTTAATTTTGGATATGATCAATACAATGATAAAATGCTGCAGTGCTTCATATGTTCCACTAGAAGGTGGTGACAGGTGACATTGTGTGAAAAGATAACCCTTTCAAGTAAAGGATGGCGAGCTAAAATATCATGCCTTTGCCTGCAAATGTTCCAACTCGTTTCCTCGCGATTTTATGTAGTAAGGAGAAGACGAAGACATCTGTGTTCTTACCTCTCGAGCTGAAGTAAGTGGAGTTGTAGCTGTACCTCACGCACGGCTGGATCTCCCCCTCCCCCACCCTGAGCGGCTCGCCCCCCTCCCCCTTGTAGCCCAGGTCCTGGTCCAGCTCCCGGTCCTCCTCCAGCTGCCTGATGACCCGCTCTGCCTCCTCCTCATCCTGGTACTTCTGCTTCAGGTCACTGTACAGGCTCTGCACCAGGTCTGGGGGGAAGGATGGAGATGTTTATTACTCCGTGAAGGAGGTATACCTCCTGCAGGAGTATTGTGGTCGGACCGTTATTCGTGTTCGCAGCTAAAACACAGGGTTCCGTTTGTGTTCAGTCTGCTTCGTGTGTAATTCTATATACATGTATTAATGTGAGGTCCGCACCACCAAAAAAATGGATGAAGTGTCAAGCTAATTTTGAATCCAACTAAAGTCTATGCTTACCGGCGACTTTGGCACAGTGTATTCTCTTCAGCGCAGACAGCAGCTGTTTGATGAGATCGTCCTGGTCCACGCGCGCCCCAACCCACAACATCAGCGCGTGAAGCACCTGGGAACAGTAAATAAACAAATACATTGTAAGTAAATAAATAAAGGACCTGGTCGGAGTATGATCAAGAATGCACAGATTACGCTCAGCGACAGCATTAGATTTTAGCGGTATGGCTGCGAATTACATTGACAGACATAAAACGCTTATGTCATTTATACATGTCTTATGATTAGTCATGGATCACTGCGTTATGTTATAAGGCAGTCGTAATGCACAGGTTGACCATCATCATGGTCTATGTTCATGTTGTCATATGCGGGTATTGGTGCAGTACCTGGTGTGTCCGCAACTTGTTCTGGCGCTTGCACGTCTCCAACTCCCTTGGCGTAATGTTGAGAAGCCTGACCAATCGCGTCCATCCTTGTGGCAGGTATTGGACGATGTTGAGGGAAACCACCTTCAACAACTGAAGGAAATCTGTAACATAGATCGCCATAGGATGAGAACATATTGTGCTAACATTGTTCCGTTCGTTGACTTTTAGAATTCACAAAGACTGTTATTGCTTGGTTATTGGGTCAGAAATTTCATCCTTTCCAAATTAGATTGATTGCACAAGGATTGACAAAATGGCTCAGAGTATCGCTCATAAACACTGATATTGTTTCTTTCCTTTCTTGTTTGTTTGTTAAGTGAGAGAGTTGTTTGTAGTGGCGCCCGAGCGTGACAGGTTCGTGTAACGAAGACTCTGTGTTCTGTAACGTGAACCCGCGGACTCACAAAGGGCGGGAATTACGTCTGTGCTGTGAGTCAACATCGCGCTTTTGTAGGGATTGGGTAAAGTACAAACATTCCCGGGTCTGGTGGCGGCCCTCCGGAGTTCTGACGCAGTAAACATGTTGGAGTCTTCACTCTGATCAGGAATTATGTTTCATGAAGTGTTTCAGCTCTTTTTAATCAAACATCTCCGGATCTGAGATATTCTTCGATATGACTCGATGTCTGATCTATAATTTGTTTCATGGAAATGTGTTATTAGGAAATAAGTGCCAGAAATGACATAAACCTAACTTTTGCACGAAACCTTAAAGAAGCTCCAACAACAACCCAGGATCTGGTTTTTTGTGCGGTTCAAAGTTTTTATATCGACTAACATTATAAAATCACAAGTCTGGATAATAGTGATGGACATCGGTATAGCGATAGCATCATTCCTGCCATGTGTCGTACCATGGTATCAGCCCGTCTTATAAATAAACAAACAAACCTACGTACCATCTCCCACCAAAGACATGACATGTCCCTCCAGCAGCTCGGCCAGGTACCCCTGCCAGGCGCCGTGCCGGGACCTCAGCCCGTCGCAGAACGCCAGGTACCCCCGCTCACCCTTGGCAGCTATCCGCTTCAGGAAGGCCTTGTTCACGGCTGTCTCCTTCACCTGATAGTCAACAACGCAATGCGCAACACGGTCAGGACCACGGCCAGGACCATGGATAGAGCAAACGGTCAGGACCACAGTTAGTACCACGGCCAGGACCACAGTTAGGACCACGGCTAGGACCACAGTCAGTACCATGGCCAGGACCACACTTAGTACCACGGTCAGGACCACACTTTACCACGGCCAGGACCCCACTTGGTACCACGGCCAGGACCACAGTTAGTACCAGGACCAAGATCAGGATCATGATTCGTGAGGCCAAACGATACCACTATCTGTTATAGATTTTTTGGGACTTTAATCGTGCGTGATATCTTTTTTATATATTTTGTACTACCCTTACCTCCTTCCTCATAGCTTCGTTCGAATGAAAATCGGTCTGCATAAAATCACCTAGCCTAAAGCGGGAGAGCGACGCTACGAAGAGCTAGGTAATACAACAAACAAATAAATAAATAAACAAACAGACAAACAAACCTTGTCGGCCTTGATGACGCGCACGTCAGGCAAAGTGAGCGCGCCCTTGCCGATGAGATAGTGGAACAGCCGTGAGGGCGGCGCCGTGAACAGCTCGGTGACCAGCTCTCTCCTGTACCGGTGGAACAGCAGCTTCTGTTCTAACGTCAGAGGGTCGGACGGCAGCGTGTACAGGCCTGGGGTGGGGGAAGGATTAAAGGACGTGTTTGTTACCTTTCACGTGTAGTGCAATAGAATAGCATTGATTCTTTTTAAAGCACTATGTTTGAAAGTCGTATATGTTGATGTGCAAGATGTAAAATATGTTATCATGTCATCTGAAGTACTTGAGCAAGTACGTCTACACCATGGTATCTTCATAATGACGATAATGTTTGTCCATCTTATATGTTTATCATATAGTTATATAGATATACGTATAATTATCGTAATAGTTAGTTATAATCATATAAAGAATCGATATCATTCAAAAATTCAGAATCAGTGGAATTTTCTAGACTAACCATGACCAGTTGATAGTTGCACGACATAAGATACATGTATATGATTTACAGTTCTGATGTTACCACCGAGATATTGTTAGCTGTTGCCTGTTTAAGATGTAGTGATTTAGTATTGTCGTTTTCCGTGTTTATTGACGTAAAAGGAACTACTAAGACAGAGTGAGACTACAGATTCACAACACTACATCATCCCTCAGTCCCACAGATATTAGATACATATATGCATGTACCTATAAACAACAACTGTCCTATTTTTAGCGGTAGAATTCGTCACTGTTTGCGTTTCTGTATCAAACCGAAGATAACATGGTTTGTAACAATGGTTGGTGTTAAATTCAGGTATCTGTTGTTGTGTGTGACCAGGACAGCTCTGTTGACACCCGGGTTCTCTTTGTCGTCCTGTCCATCTCACGTGATAATATTTCACCTCCGACCCGAATCTGTCAGTTCGGTAATCTCAGAACGTCGCCTGAGCAACTGTCCGTGTTGATGTGTCCACAGGACGGCTACACGGAATAGTCTAGGCACAGTGACGTGTCTAGTGGTCAGTAATCCCGCTCTGGGATCGAAGGGTCGGTGGGTCGAATCCAGGCGGAGAAAATAGAACACTAGCGACAACGTTTTGTCTGTGTTATAGGACTCGACACCTGTTTATGAGTAAATGTTTAAGTTTAAGTTTATACTGGTTTTGCGAACTGGTTTTGAAACGTTGCGATATCGCCAGCAAGATATCGCAACAAATCTACTATGATAATGCATATGATCTACCTAAAAGTTAGAGGCTTTACAAACCATTGCTACTCGTTTAAAACGTGCAGTGAGCTGGCCTCACCATAGGGTAGTAGGAGGTGGATTATCAGTATCATATATTATACACATCTTACTGATCCAATATTCTGGGTCGCATATGTATCATATTTGACATTAGCACGTTTTCACGTAGGCAAATCGTCGCACCCGTGATGACGCAATACGCAAGTGGACCGCTCCCTGTTGTTTTTTCTAACCCTATAACACGAACTGCGAGTCAGGATCGGTCATACTCTTTGTACTGATGACATGTCGGTCGTTACAAATCTGTTCCAACAACACCGTAGGGCTAGGAGAAAGACCCGTCTCTTGGCAACGTTGTCTTAAGAAAGCCAGCCTGTCTTACTGTTAAGCTATGAAAAGCTGAAGCTATTCATTAGCCATTGCTTCCGAAAAAAAGTCTACGAAGAAAAACCAGATAGACTCGGCATTATTACTACTTCACATTCTGTGTGTTTCATTGCAATTGACCTTTGGGGATTCGAAGAGTTTGCAAATGTAATATATTTCTCCAGTATACGTACCGCACATTGTTTTTTCGTTAGTTACTGATGACAAGGACATGAAATATAGTGTCCTTGGTATGAAATATTGAGGTTGACAGAATAGGGACCAAGAATCCGGCCCAGTCGGAGCGTCATTGTTCGCAAGTCGGATTCAACACGACAAGAACAAAGACAGACTTCGGTGTCAATGCACTCCTCAGTACAGCTGTGTGAGGGCATAAAATATTCAACACCAAGACCAATATTTGTAGGAAAATACGGATATCGTCGAAGAGATTCTTGCATTGGCACAATAGTGTCGAGATCCAAGGCTAAAGGATACCTGTACGAGATAAATAAGTTGACTGGGCCTTAAGAGTTTAAGAGTTTGGTTATAAAGCAGCGACGCGTTTTTCGTTTGGAGTAATAGGTGTATCAATGGGGAACGATAGAGCCAGCACAGGAAATGGTCTTGATACAATAATGTCATTTTCCTATAAAACAGGCCGTGTATAGCGACGTTGGTCGTAAGGCACGTTAAAACCAGTCAGAGAGGAAAGGAAAGTATTTGTTATGATTTTAAACAGCATGCCTTGATGTGAACGCCGATTGTTAAAGGTTACCCAATACAGAGTACAAACAAACTACGCTAGAAGAATCACAATAAAGCAAGGTTTACCTCTGATGGGGATATTCCTCCGTTTTCTGGACATTGTCGCTGGTGTGTTCTACACTTCTGTAGTCACACACGTCCCAGCTCCGCGCCCGTCACCACGGCTAGGTTCTAAACACCGCAGGTGATGTTTACACAGAGTACAGGTGTTCTGCCGTTGTCCGACACTTGTTGGAGACAGGGGGCGTTTGTGAGCACTCTCTGAGTCCCGCTCTCTCAGTAACCAGGGGGTCTATGGACAACCCACAGCGTTAAACTTTACTAAACATCGCCCTTTTTCCTCAGCAGCGGTCTGACTTTGGTTGGTGAAGGCGGTAAACATGTGTAGGGGAGGGTACCAGGGCTGTGCGCCTTAGAGACGGGATGTGTCGGCGCGACGAGGTGTTCCCCTCGCACCTGGGCGGGGGAGAACAAAGGCGCGAGTCACCTGGCGGGAGTGTCGATGTACAGATCACGTCAACATAAACACGCGCGGGCATACTGAGCCCGCCAGGCGGGGGGATAATATGACATGGATCAGTTGTGGCCAAGTGTTGATGTTTTTCATCGGCGGTTCATCAGGTGTGGGCGGGGCATATGGTCGCTAGGGGCAACAACCAATCATAGGCTGCTCCGATCATTGCCGTATGGAAAGCATGGGAGAGGGGATATTTTTATGATGGCTTGCAATACCTCAAGTTAAAGGAAGTGGTTTATTTTCTTAGAGACACCCAAGAAATCTTCATACCAAGGCATTGAGTCAGGCGTATTGCCAAAACACATTTTACTGCGTCCCTGTCGCCATAGCGAGTACAGCAACAAATGAGATATTCCTATCTACCGTACTCGGTTAAGAATCTAAGACCCATCATTTTCAATATAAGACAATCAAGATATATGATGTTCATGTACATCATGTACATGATTCCTGTGTCAAGCTGTATAGTATACTGTAACAGTATAGCCCTTGTTGTCTACAATGAACAATGAAAGACTTTTGTAGAACTTCGGGGTGTAAAAGACACCATATCGTGAAGGGCGCATTGACAATTGAAGACAAAATCTTCATTAATTTACTTTAGCCAGCATAGTTTTCCCTGTGAAATGTGCATGTTTATTATCTGCCATTTGAAACAAAATTGCAAGGGGTCCAAAACTGGACTGGATTTTTCTTAATAGACCAAGACCTATCGATAAGCAAGCAAACAAATAAAACTTACGAAAAACCTTCATAGTCATCCCGTTAACCATATATAACAGCATCACTGTGATAAGATATAACATACCTACCTACGATAGAAACAGAAGTAGCCATGCGCATATGTAGTGTCGAAGTTACAACATGGCGTTGAAATACTCCTTGCGGTTAACAAGTGAGTTGCAGAACTTTTCGCGCTCGCGTGACCTGAGACTTGTCCGCAGAGGGAACCAGCCCGCCTAGCGGTTGAGTGGAACAATACAAGTCTGGATATTGGATCTAATCATTACGAATTTATAGAAAATACAAATTCCAATACTATATAGTATATTTTATTTTTCAATTTAGAAACCTGCCATACTCTCTGAGTCTCTTTATTAATGAAACGATTCTGTATCATGGATCATGGTCGGTTGGCTGGTTGGCTGGCTGGCTGGCTGGCTGCATGGCTGGCTGGCTGGCTGGCTGGCTGGCTGGCTGGCTGGCTGGCTGGCTGGCTGGCTGCATGGCTGGCTGGCTGGCTGGCTGTAAATACCAGAGAAAGTCCCTCTTGTCCACGTGTGGTTATACTATAGGTAAGGACGCGTTGTCTGTACAACTTCTCTTTGTCCGCCTGTATGTAATTCTGGCCCGCCCGAGGAGGCAAACATCACTTTCTGACTGGCCCCCGGGTCAGACGACACAATGCCGCCCTAGCAACGTGGGTAGCAACGGGCCCTTGTGCGGCGGGCGATCACATGTCGGCTGGCTGGGTCGAGTGGCCGGGAACTGTTGATGGTACAAACTACAGGGTTAAGGGTGTCCGTCATCACGAGATTTATGTGAAGGAGCGTTTTCTAACTTGAAGACGTCGATGAAGACGACAAAGTAAGTGAAGATGTCTTGGTGGCCACCTGCTTGGCGTTATATTGTGAACTTGAACGTACATGTGCAGGCTCACTTGACGAGAAGGCCTCGAAAAACAGCTTATATTTGATAGACAAATAGCGCTTTGTAGTAAATTGCCCGTCTCATGTGTTGGACACACATTTACGCAAACTATATCATTGACATTATGGCCACCATACATGGTTGAAAAGGTGGTTAAGTTGGTATCGTTGCAAAAAGGTTGAGAATCTTTATCATTTCTAACCCGTTTGCTTTGTGAATAAGTGTATGTGAACTTGGGGTTTTGTTTTCGGCTTGTACTTATATTTACACATCGATTAACCACAATTAGGTTGTATTTTGCCCTAAATATTGGACAAAACGGGCCAGAAATCAGCAAACAATCTTACAAGAGATTACGCAGCTGTTGGACATGAAATGGTTTATTTTGGAAGCAAACACCTGTTTGGATTGTACAGTTTATTGTTCCGCCGCACGAATCTTTTAACAGGGCTTTAAACCTGACCCTGGGAGCATATGGCGGCGGCTTTGGACACATTACTTTGGGCTTTGCACGTTTACTTTGTAAATCCTAAACACATGGCTTCGGAATTTGCGTAATTATAGGTTTCACCAAGGACATTATACAGAACTTGGTTTCTCGAACCATTATTGAAGAATAAGACTTGTTTTTCAACGCAAAAATTTTGCAAGAACATTCCAGAATTCACAATAACAGGTAAAATATGAACAGATTGAGGACTTGATTTAACGTATATGTTGGATTGTTACGCCATAACTAGGCATGTCACAAATAATTACACCTTTTGGTTACTTCTGTTTGGGGTTTTCTTGCTTTTTGTTGCAAGTCTAGTATCGTTACTACGCAATGCCACGTAACCTATCAGTTAAACGTAAACATATACATATAAATACACAAAAAGAAGAGAGGAGTTTTTAGTGTATATAATGTTTAGTTGCTATGCCATGAACAGAGTTGTCACAAGTAGCCCTTCTCCGCTCGCTGGTGCATGTCAGACATGTGATAGGCTGCCGCCCTGGAGAGCCCATAGCCGCCTGCTCTACCGTGACTTTGCGTCCTATTTGGGTGTAACCGTAATCTCCAAGCAGATGTATCGGTCGGGAGTTGTTTTGTGGGTCTGTTGTGGACTTTACTGTGTCTCTACGTCTCTCTCTACTGATACTTGTTTTTCCTTAAGTAGAAAGAGGTGAAACAAACCAAATGTACATTAATAGGAAAGACGTAGACGCACAGAAAGAGCAACAAAACGTGCCAGTCCCATACATCTGCTTGGAGATTAGCGTAACCGTATCGCCCTCGTGAGGTCTTCGGGGGGAGCTGAACTGGAACCCCGCCTGTGTGCACTGCTACCGACCCGTGAACGGGCCATCAGATATGGCCGAGACAGCTTACACGGGGAGAGAAAACCGGAACAAAAGCTGCAAGTTTCAACTATGTATTCATAGAGAGGGGAGAGAGAACATACATAACACATGTCAGTTTGATAATAGTTTAGCAAAGCAGTACAGGCAAAGAATAAAATCTACCGTAGCACCCCTGATTACCTCGCTGTTTCTGAAACATCTTTAGTTACAGAGATGTTTGACTTTAAAACACTGGATACCGGCTCGAACTTTGAAGAGAGCAAAATTAAGCTGACCGTTTGAATATGAATACGTGCTTGGAACTGGCATTGCCGGAACTTCAGCCCAATCAATGGGAAACGCGGCCTCGTGTTCCCCACTTTCACATCATTCAGACGGCCTTTGAAGTACGCGTGAATGCGCAGAAGTGTCCTTTCCTTAAATTATTCAAAAGTTTCCTGTGGCAATAGGAGCCCTTTAGATACATTTGAGTGTGCGGCACTCCATTGGATAGCGGTATGATCCGCTACTGCAAAACGCGACTTCTTTGATTACATGCATACCTGATGATGTGACCTGAAAATTTCTGGAGCACAAGTCACTCTCTCTATACGTACTAGAACTTTTAACGGCGATTTGGAACAGTATGTGCACGTTGAACGCTGGCATGCGAGGCCGAGGACGAACAGCCAATTCCAGTAGCGTGCAGCTTGGGTGACTAACATCAGCCGGGATGTCACTCTCAACTGTCCAGACGTAGTGTCGGATCTTTCACACAACACTTGTTGTGAAAATACAGCGGTCTACACGGACGTGTTTTGCCCAGTTGTGAAAAGGGGTCATCTTCCTACAGCCAGTACAACGGGAACAGACGCTAGCGAGAGGCGAAGAAGATACAACAAGGAAGCGAGGCGCTTTGTAGAAAACCATGTGGAGTAAAGCGAACTGTAGGGAACTCAGTTGTGCGGTTTGCGACGTGTACACTCCAGACGATTTCGTTCGTGAGTATCAAAACAATAGATCCAGAAACTGTCCTTGTCACTTAGACTGCCATGGCCCTTTGCAGCAGCCTGTGGCTAGTCGGACAGCCTTAGCAATATGATGTAGCATTTGTTTTACTGTTTTCCCTGCACCTGAAGGTAGCGCGGTTAGGCTGGAAGTGTACCAGTGCATATCGTTACATCGTTACATCATGTTTTTGTTTACTCGGTTGTTTATTTGTTTGTTTATTTTCCCCAGTGCCCCTGTCCGAAGGTAACGCGGTGCGGCTGGACGTGAACCGGCCCACCCTGCTGCAGTACATCGCCACCCGCAGCCCCTCCCAGCTGTTCGACGCGCTGGTCGCGAAGAAAGCGCTGAGCCGGCGGGACGTCCACGTCATCTGTAACAACAAGGAGACAGACATCGACATTAACAGGTGGGCTGTAGTTTGAACGAAAACCGCTAGACGTCTCAAAAATGAAATGCAAATCCTTAGTGCACCAATAAGCCGGGTAAGCGTATAAGCCAGGAACGTCAGTGAAAAGAAAACAACTGGCTACCATTTTAGTGCAAATGCTGCGTACTAGAACCTTTACTTTGTCTGTGATATTAGTCTGGAGACAATTCATTTATTCATCCATCCTTTCATCCGTTCCTTCGTTCATTCATTCATTCATCCATCCATCCATTCCACCCCAGCGCACTACTAGACACCATCAGCCGGAAGGGCGATGACGCCTTCAAAGCGCTCTCGGAGGCGCTACGGAAGGGCGGTTCCTGGCAGGGATACCTGGCCGACGTGCTTGAGGGGAAGGGGCTCATGATAGGTCTAACGGCGAGTTTTAAGGTTGTGGCGTCCGCCGTCTCGGCCCGTTTCCACAACAGCTGGACGTCCCTGCCGCGGGAACTCAGGCTGCCTAGAGAGGATCTGGAGTACTGCAAACGGGAAAACAGGTAAGGTTGATTATATACCTAACCTTAAAATCCATCCACTGTTCACAAACCTAGAGCTAACGCTGACCACTCTTACCTGTTAACATTCATTACCTTATCTTACCAACTAATAAGAATAATCAAGACTGCCACAAACCTCGAATAAGGTACTGTGCAGATCGATGTAGCTGTTAGCTAGTTTTGGGCTCAAACAAAATGGCTTTTCTTGCTCCCCAGCTGCTATTGAATAATAATTGATTTTAGGCTCATACATTAGAGTATTACGAGACCCATAATCTCGCATAATACGTCTTTAAGAAAGTCACAACGGCCGTTTCACGCTTCTGCAGACAGGTCCAGGACAAGGTGCTGAACGCGCTGGTCCGCTGGCGGCGCCTGCGCACTGACATCTACGAGCTGAAGGAAGAACTGAAGGAGGTGCTGGTCAGGATGAAGTGCCCGGATGTAGCAGGTGAATCGTGTGAAATAAATTTGTGGTGGATGATTGACTTTTAATTTTCTCCAATCCCATATCAGGCTCAAATACTACCCTAGAAGAGCACCTAGAAGACCTTTAAAATCTTTTCTATGTGGGCAGGTGTACTATATCTTGTCTATGTTGGCAGGTCACTATAGACCCACCCTTACTTACTGTTGTCGTTCTTAGTACACAGATGTATCAGATTAAAATATGTACATGAGGAATTAATTTCCAGAACTAATGAGGAAAGTCTAAAATTCCCTATCTATTCATCTCAGACCAGATAGACGAGATCGATGATGAGGACCCGCCCCTGCCCAGCCCGAGGAAGAAACATAAAAAAACGGAAAGTCCCTTACCTCATGAGGAGGAGGAGCCGAACCAACCGGACCAGGATACTGAAGAGGACGGCGGTATGTACTTTATCATTTTGACATAAGATATAAGAAAACTTTATTAGCATTGACAGACTCACGAAAAAGCTTAATTATCGCTAATTTACAATACAATATCAAAATTTCACGGAGGATTAAAAACATTAGAGAAACATTTAGTTATGATGACATCATTTTCAAACGTACAATTTTGAAAGTACAGAAATCAAATTATACATATATATCTAAAAATTACGGGTGGAATCATTTTTGACATTTGTTATAGAGCACTATTGCTTGGTACAAGACATATCGTTTCAGTCTCTCAGTTTTTACTGCAAGGCTAACTTGAGTGAAGTCAGGGCCGAAATATTTCAAGAAAAGCCTGAGATTAAATAGTATATCAATAATTTTGCATTCTTCTAGTTCAAATTTCTGTCTAACAATGATATCAACAAGACGGTTATTCTTTCTATCTACCCTCTTGCAGGTGAAGCCAGTAACGGGCGGAAGATGAAAGCCACCTTACAGCTGGAGCATGACGGGGGGTCGATCACTATATCCCTGGGGAGGGTCCAGGTGGACCGGGATGACATCCGCACCACCAGTCTGAGGGACACGCTGTGTTACGTCTTAGAGAACGTCAAAGTGTCGTCCCGGGAAAGAACCAAACTGCCGCCAGGTGAGAGCTCTCGTATTCGTCTGTCGTGACTCAACAGATTTCAAAAGTTGGGCAAAATATAGGAGCTGAAATATAGACATTGGCCGCATTGGATCTGATATTTTTTGCAGAAAGTCTGTGGCGCCCCCCGTCTCTGTTGAGGGATGCTTGTAATGCCCTGAAGTAGATGGACTCTTTAACCCCTCGTGCAAAAGAGTCCGGTTCTTTGTCCAGGATGCTTACTTTATCCAATGAGACTGAATGCCCAGGCGATATATGTTGTGAGACTTCCGAAGTAGTCGAGCTAGGTTGTTTGTGTTCTAAGAACCTAACATACAGATTGTCTTCCAGGCCTGGAGATGGAGGATCAGAGCCATGCCCTGGCCAGCGCGGGAGTGACGTCAGAGATCTCGGGGCTGGGGAGGGACACAGACAACCTGTGTCCGGTGCTGGGGGTGCACGTCTACGTCACTTCCGTCGTGCCGCACATCAAACCTTTTCTGGACGTCGCGAACGCCGCACTGGGGGAGATGGCACGATGGCAGGTGGGGGTTGAGCTGTTGGCAATTAACATATAGTATTATCTGTGTCTGTATCTGTATAGCCGGTATAACCGCCCTTCGGCGCTGCGGCAGCTAGCTATATCACACCGTACGACTTGTTACACTCAATCTTTGCACATTTAATTGCATAAGTTGTTTAAAGCTTTCTAGTGATGATGTCCCAACTGTGACTGAGTTTTTGAACACCTCAATTCTTGGTTGATAACTCTGATATTTGAAGGCATGACTGTTTAATTCTTGTTCTTTTCTGGTTTATTAGTCAGTTTATTAGTCATTTTGTACATCATGCACAGTCACAATTATATATATAGTTATATAGTATAGACGTTCAGGTGACCAAGATAATAACGTCGCCATAATAACGTCACCTAGAAGGATAATCGCGTGGCTTTGCAAGAGGTGAATGTGTTCATTTGTAGGAGTGTGTACTAGTCTATCATACACCGTCTTATTTCCTACGCAGAGAGACGTCCGTCTTAAAGAAGCGGTGGCCTACTTGCAGGAGCTTGGCGTGGAGGTGGTCCGCGTGTCTCCCCACTCCGCCTCAAGCGTCGTCTTCGTGGTCCTGAGCCGCAGCATGACGTCACTCACGTCGCTATGGGAACAGTACCGGCAGGGTTACCTCCGTAGGATGTTCCAGAGAACCCTGGTGAACGAGCGGCTGCTGAGGAAGATCAGCCGGCGGACGGTACCGCGTATCAACGTCAGGAACGTCACCGTGGAGACGTACATGAACGAGGAACATTACAAGTTCAGTAGGAACAGACTGCAGATGATTAAAGACCAGCTGGGACCTTCAGACGGTTTGGTGAGGGAGTCGCTAAGAATCTAGAGTTTGCAAAGACTTAACACCGGTGCCGCTGGTCAATGTCGGAACCGTCACCATGGAAACGTAGGTGACATGCGAAAGTTAAGTAGAAACAGACTTCAGTGATGACGGACCAGCTCATACCTTCAGACGGTTCGGTACGGGAGAACGTAGAGTTTACTGAGGCTTGTTTCACTATTACTAACGCTACTATGAGCAGGGTACGCTTGCTATTGGGAACCACATAATCGAACAATTATCAAGACAATGATGAAGTATCAGCCGAAGTCTTATTTAATCAATACTTTTTTTATTAAGTCGAAAGAAATAAAATGGCTTAATACTTTTATCAAACCACCCTCGTCGTGTCATTATGTCTATACTACCATCGAATGTAAATTCCTTTAGCAAAACGAAAAACACTAATTTGTCTACTTTTCATCTATGTGTAGTAAGAACTGGTTGGAGGAACCTGACGGAGGGGAGCAAGGGGCCAGTACCTGGCCTGGGCACTTAGGCAGGTAGTAAGAAATACACTCATCTAATACATTATCCCAATTCTGCAATATTCACCCAAATGTTGCTAATACGGCAAAGCAAGGTCAAAAGCGCTACACACCTCCTAACCTAACAATATTACTGTTTATCACTAAGTTATGATACACATGATTGTCGACAATTAAAGACTAGTTGGGAACATCGCAGTCCAACTCCCAACCATAGATGGCCTTGCTCACGACTAACCTTGGTCTGTAGAAGGTCGTGAGACCATGGTTGCTGATGTGCACATGTGACTGGGGATACCCCTACCTTGGTAGTGGTTACCGTCTGAAACGTCTGACTCTTCAGAAAATTTATCCAGTTACAAGTACATGATTTATTTTGTATTACTTGACACATAAATGACTGTATCCTTTCGATATACTCAGGTTCAGTTTGAGATTTTTGCCATTTCAGGAAACACAAAAATCATCTTAATGCTTGGAAGGGGGACCATCTGCCAATTTTCTTCTTCTGAGGTCGATTTCCATGATAAGGTTCATTTTGGTGTTATAATATGTCAGGTCGTTGCCTAACTCGTTGCGCTGGCGGACTGCGAATCCAATACAACCTAAGGAGGCAACCAGCGCAAGGGCAGCAATACTGATCTTTTCCCGCATACCCTCTAGCCGGCAGCCGGCGACACCAGCAGCTATTGACGCGAATAACGTGATTTTTGTCGCTCTATCCTTGTAACTCTTCCTCATCTCTTCGATTTTATGATTCAGAGTTTCAAGCACGCCTTCTGCTTTCTTCAAACATTCGATGCAAGTGTCAAACACGGGATGAATGTCGCTCTGGATTGACTTGTACCTCTGCAGAGCCCTTTCTGTTTCTGAGTCGTTGTCCAAGTTTACAGCCATTTCCACTATTTCCATGGCTTCTTCAAACTTCTGGTCAATGCTCTCCATCTTCTCCTTTACAAAAGTTAGCTTAGAGTCAATCTTTGCCCATTCAACTGGACAGGCCTTCTTGATAGCGATCTGTTTCTCAGGATTTTCTGCGAGATACTTAATGAGCACCCACTCAACGAAATCAAACGCGAACTCGTAGACATTGAAAACAAGTTCCCCGACCTCAGAAACAAGTTTCAGTTCATTTAGAAGGGTCCGGAAGTAGGATACCTTGGGTGGTGGTCGTGCACCCTCAGGCTGAGGTCGGCCGCCCGTGAATACATACTGTAGGTGCATATGAGGTCCCATCAGCCAAGACCACGCACAGTCACAAGGTACCAGTACCGGTACCGGTTGTGGCGGTTTTGGCTTCGCCTTTTGACGCTTATCTCTTGCCTTATCCAAGGTAACACGCATGATAGAAGACAGCTTAGACAACTTCACGTCGTCAACCGTACTCATTGCATCGGTCATGGCGTTTTGCAATGCTTGGGGCATCAACATACTCCTGAAACGAACAAAAATCAAGTTGATTGCTGAGAAAAGATACTCTCTGCTTTCTTGTTGTGGCAAAACGTTACACATTCAATTATTTCCCTGCCTTACAAGTACATGTAAGTAACATTTGCTCGATTCATTACATGATAAATCAAGATCCTTCACATCAATAAAACGGTAGGAAAATAATTTTTTACTCTTGGTCGCGTTGGTCTGATTTTTGCGATTTTCGCTCCGTTCCCCCCTGATCGGTTTAGCAAATACCACAAACCCACAGTGTGGAGAGGGAGCTGCACTTACGTGTTGACGGCACGTAGGGACATGGTGAGCCTTGGAACGGGCGATACGGTCCTCCAGAAGAACACTTATGAATCGGAATAGGACTACTGTGGGGGATTAAAGTAAACGATTTGTAAGAACAAGAAAGAAATACAACAGTTTCGGGTCTTCCTCTTCTTGTTCAGCAACAACACTACAGAAAGACAACTAAATCATCTCAAATATCTGTTGACAAATGTTAATGATTTTGCCCATAACGGAGATGCCTGTTTGTCCACGATAACAGGTCTGCTCTATGTATCGAATGGCGACACCTGTGGTGTAAACACACTAACGTCTGAAAAATATACCAGTAGTCTGGCTGGAACGATGCCAAAAAACACACAAAAGCCCTCTAGAACCATGGTTCGTCAAATTATCCAATAATACTGGAAAACCTGCCAGATGAAACGTCCCTTCCGAATGATTTGCTCATGCTACAATTTTGTCTCTTAAAAGTATTTAAATTTTTAAAGATTTTGTCTCTCAACAGGTGTTGACATACGATACATGCGCGAAGAAAAGTCGTGTTGTTGTAGGTAACTGAATCTAAAGCTCCTTGGTAATTGGAAACAGGGCCGCCATGTTTCTCAGCAATGCTTGAATATACGTCTTATAGTCTAGACTGTACGTCTAAGAAATCTGCTGTTCTGAAGTTGAAAGATAAATCAGTTCTATTTGAGGATTGTAACTGCCCTGTTGAGCGACCTATATGATATATGATGATACCGCTGGCGACCACACACTGTGCCGCTATCTAACAGTTCTGTGTACTTTGCATAATAGTTTTTCATCCCCAATCTTCAAAATACTATGTCATCCTACGTCATACGTACATTCACTAACTTTCTGTGAATGCAAAATGCACCAGATGTACATGAACAAGATCCGTACTAGTTTTACCGTCTTGTTGACGTGGAGCCTTGTTCCGGGTCGGAGTTCCAAATAGTGCGCAGTAAATCGCCGGATCTGCGAGGTTGTCACGCTAGGTTTGGCTCCCCATAGCTCGGCGATCGTTGTAGATTTTCAAATAGGTTTTGAATTGATAAAAAAAACCTTGTGTTTGTAGTGTTTTTCGGCGTGGTGAAGTTGGACGGCCAGCGAGACCTTGATTCTGACCAGGGACTGCCGTGCACCATCTTCTAGAGTACGCATGACCGGTGTTACCATGGTAATAACCATGGTGTTACGGAAGAAACACGTCTGAAGATCTCGGACTGGAGTTTCTTTTACGATTGTTGTATGCGACGGACACCCTCAGGCCGGAGGGCTACATGTAGTTCCGCCAAGAGTATGGACATGTCCTACTTGTTGGATGTAGCAAGGAACAGGAGCGTGCGATGGAGCGGGTCCAACGGCGAGCCCTCCGCATCATCAGCCGAGCTGGCAGGCGTGACGTTCCCGAACTACCCACCCTGCAGTCGAGGCGCGAGGATGCCGCTGTGAAACTCTTTAGACAGATGCTCCAGGAGGACCACCCCCTACATGACCTCGTCCCTGTCTCTAGAGCTAACGCCACTGGACGCTCTCTTAGGAACAAGAACACCATATCCACTCCCCCCAGCCAGAACAAAAAGACTCCAGAACTCGTTCCTACATCAGTCTATCAGACTATACAACCAGACTGTGTAAACGTGTCATATCTGGGATGCCCTGTTGATTTAATGTATATATTTTAATAGTATGTATATATGTGTAATATATGTTATGTACTTATCTTGCTGTTATTACTGTAAATACCAATGCCATTCAGGCAACACATATTTTTGTATGTCTGCAACGTTGGTATGAAATAAAGAATTGAATTGAAAAAAAAAAAAGGAAGGCCGGAAAATCACATTATGTCAGTGAACAGCTGTTTCCAGCCGGCTTTCGATACTAGTTTGGGTATCGTCTGCTGCCTCTTTAATTGGGATAAAACCGCGTAGTAAAATGTAAATTTTGGACCAGAAAAGTATTCTTTTTTTACACTTTTTTTTCATCGGAGCTGCCTGGAAAAAAAGTCAGAGTAACGGCTTATATGCTGAAATAGCATATTACTTCATGTTTCTGAAAAATGAAAAAAAAAAGTATAGGTTGTTGGGATAACTTTTTTGCAATGTCTGATGACGCAAATGCCTTGAAATTCCATATACTTAAGGATAGAATGGTG